AAATTAATTTGATATTTAGCCTAATTATATAATATAAAAAATTGTCTTACAAATTTTCAATATAATTAAAATAGAAACCAATAAGATAAAAAAACAATTTACATAGAAAACGTTTTTAAAAAAACAATATTAATTTGATATATATGCTAGCTATTTAAGAAATTAATTTTAAAAGTCTAACTAAAAGGAAAAGAAAAAGAAAAATTAAATTAAGTCTTCAAAATGTTAATACTTCAAAAAAAATTTTATATCAAAATAAAAAATAAATATTAAAAATATTAAATTAAGAAAAGAAAAAATCATCAAAAAACTGATTGAGAAGCAAGAAACAGTTTTGTACGATCATTGCAGCTTTTTAACAATCCTAATATGAATATACACGAATGATGAATTGTATATGCCTAACGTTTTGAAAAACTAACATATAAATTTTAAATAACAAAAAATGATATTTTACGCTATCTAATGAAAACATTAATAAAATAATAAATTTTAAGTAACAAAAAAAACTGCAACTTATTTTTATAAAAGGACAATATAATTAAAATAATAATTAATATTAAAATAATTAAATTCTATTATATAAAAACAATTTCTCTAATTCTTTGATAATTTAAAATTTAGTAACTCAAAAAAAATAAAATCAAACTATTAATACAGAATTAGTCTATACGATATAAAAAATTGAAGCATTAGGCGAGTTAAAAAGCTAGTCTACTATATAAAAATTGAAGCGTTAGGCCATTGAAAACATCATAGGATGAAAAAGCTCAATCTAATTGGTCTACACCAGTTTTTTCAATAAAACACAAAAAGTTAAATTTGATTAGCAATTTAATATATTAAAATATAAAAAACAAAAAAACTATTATATTAGGCCAATGAGACTTGAGAGCGTCCATATAGGACGAAAAAACTCAATATGGTTGGCCCACATCAGTGTTTTCATTAAAACATAAAATCTGATTAACAATTTAAATAAATTAAAATATTTAAAAAACTAAAAAAAAAACATATTAGGATAAAAAGTTAAAATCAAAAAACTTTAATTAACAAAACAGACTAAAGGAAGTTATGTCAAAAATCCAAATTTATAATGTCTATCAAAATAAGATAGAAACTTAATGTCACAAAACCTAAATAAACAAAAAAACAATATGATAATCAATAACAAAAAAATTAAATTAACAAAACATCAATATAAAATATGAAATCAATAAAAAATTGTAAGTTTTTAACTAATAAAGGTGAAAAACAAAACTTTAACTAACAAAAAATAGATGAAGCTTTAAGCTAACTATTTAAGAAACCAATATAAAAACTAAACCAAAAAATAAAAAGTTAATTATTCCCTCCGTTTCAAAAAGAGTGTCGTTTTGTATTTCCAATGTAAATTTTTAAACAAAAATCATGTTTTAACCTTGTTATATTAATGTATTAATTAGAAAAAATGTTATTTTATGTATGAACAAGGGTAAAATAGAACTTCAATTGATTTTCAATTTGTGTGAAAAATGCCAAAATGACACTTATTTTGAAACAGAATGAGTGTTCTACTAAATGTTCATATAATAAAAAATACAAATTATTATAGGAAAAGTTAAATTAAAAAACAATCATCTAGAAAATATTATTTCGATATTTATGCTAACTATTTAAAAATTAATATAAAATAGTTCCACTAACAGAAAATAAAAAGAAAATTATATGTGAATGTTAATATTTGTTTTATAAAATATTTTTCAAAATAAAATAAGAACTAATATCAAAAGAGGTAAAATAACAAAATAAAAAGTCGTATATAAGAACACTAACTTGATATTTTGGCTAACATTTTAAAAAATCAACATAAAAAACTTAACTAAAAAAACAAATAATGTTATAATCTTTTGAGAGAAGTTCAAATAAGATTTGAAATAAACAGTTATAGCATGTCAAACCAGTATTATAACTAAAATGAAAATTAATATAAAAAGCAAATTTAACAAAGAAAAAGCATTCGTGTACAAGAAATTAATTTGATGTATTTGTTACCTATTGTGAAGTCAGCAACAAAAGAGCTTAAAAAATATATATACATATATTATATATATATATCCTAAGTATATCAAACTTATAAAAAATTATATAAATTAAATTAAAATTTTAACCAAATTAATTTAAAATTAGTTTCAAAAAAATTTTGATTTATAAAATAGTGGTATCGACAATAAATAACTATCTAAAGTTGCAATAACTTTACCAAAGTTTCTAAATCAAATATATTTATTAAAAATACAAAAATTAAGATACTTTGTGTTTTTTTATTTAAAACAAAACATTTGAACACGTAAACCTTAAAAAAAGTGCAGAAATCATATAGAAAACAAAACAAAACATCATGATCTAAGTGAGAAAGTCCTTCTCTAAATTTAATGTATGTGTACATCAAAGTTGGATAATTCAATAGGTATTATTGTTATCATTTCACTAAATAAGATTTCAAAATTTATAAATAAAAATAGGATAAACTAAAAATTATATTTTAACATCTATTATATAAAAAACATATTTCTATAAATCTATTATAGTTTTGATAATTTAAAAAACAGTAACTAAAAAATAGTTAAACAAAGCTATCAATACAGACTTCCCTGTAGTGCGAATTATAAGCCTAGTACTAAAAAAAAGTGTGGAATCATTTCTAAACTCAATTATCAGCAAAGTCGATAACCATACGTAGTTACATATCAACGTCGAAACTCAAGATACAAAACAAAAATTTATATAGTTGTCAAATTTTTCAAGAGGAAATTATTGTTTCTTTATTTTTCTATTATTCTCTCTGTTTTTAACTAAATTATCTATATCGGTATAATATTCAAATTATAAGAAAGACATGTAATTTAATTATTTACTAGGTGGGTTTTTTATATAAACATAATTAGTTCTAATATTTAATTATTGATTAATTTTTTATTCATTTTTTAAACATTATGTTTGTATACATACGTTATTTTAGAGTTTAACAACAATCACACAAACATTTCATATCGTTTTCTGCCTTTTGAAACTGATTTACTTTATAACTTTTTACTTTTTTATCGTTTAGAGTGACATATAATTTTAAATGTAAAAATTATATTAAACAATAATTAAATATTTACAGTATATTTTAAATATTATCTATATTATGCTTTTTTCTTCTTGCACAATATAATCTTTCCAATATATATATATATATATATATATATATATATATATATATTTTGTATATATTTTTTCTTGACCTATTGCTAATTAAACCAAAATAGGTTTTACCATCTCTACTTATTCTAAGAGTGAGTAGATGACGCACATTCGTATGTACCAAGCAATTCACTTCTCTTAGAGCAGATAGAGATTTTTCAAAATATATAAATTGTCTAATAACTAAGATTAAAATTGGTTAACAAAATGCATGTGTGACAAGTTCGTATGCAACTTCAAATTTTGCACAATTAATATTTATATTCACACGCATATTTATGGGAAAATCAAAGTATGAGTTTTATGTGTTAAAAAAAAAATAATAAAGTTTATATTTCGTAATATATATTATATATGTATAGTTGAATTTTAAAAAGAGTAAGTATGGGTTAGAAATAAGTGAATTATAATATTTAGGTGTTGGTTAGTTTTTCTAATATATTCTGCAAACGTTATGTTTTTACACGATGCAGTTTTTAACGTTTCACAACAATCATAACAATTATTTCTATCATTTTATATTTAATCAAAATTTCTTTTTTTAGCGTTTTATGATATATAGTTTCAATTAAAAGTTATATTAAATATTAACAAAAAATACATAAGAACTTTAAATAAAATCAAAATATAATATTTAACTTTATTATAAAAATAAATATATTACATTGGATAATCTATTATTAATGTTCTTTTTCAATAAAAATTATAATAAGTATATATTATAAAATTTGTCATATTTTATAAAATTCTCCGGTTGTTCTCTGCTCATATCTTCGTCCAATATCGAGGAATTGGTTTGATGAAGAAAATAATTTTTTTATGATAGGCATGCACGTATGTGTTCATTATAAAATTCAACCTACACATGAGTTTGTTATTAAATTCGATTTTTTTAGATTTTTAGATAACTCTGTAAAACAAAGCACAAGAGTTTTACAGGAAAAACAAAACTGTAGAGATTTATTTTATTTTTACTTATATTTTTATTCATATTTGTTTGATCTTATTATAATTTATTTTTCATTTGGTTATTTTTCATTTTAGTTATGATCTCAAATTCTCGATTTACATTGAAATTGTATATGATTATGATATAAACATTTACATTATATTTTTTAAAAATAAAAGATAAAATGGGATGATAATATAAGCTACGTAAATTATAGAAAACAATAATACAAAAAATGTTGAAAAATTATATGTAAATAATAATATATCATACTTCTAACATTATTAATATATAGAATATTTACTAATCTATTGGTTATTTTTTATTTTTCTTTATAAAAATATAAGACATATTAGTTGTAAACATTTTCGTAATTATATTTTATGCTATTTATCATGAATATATGTTAAAATTTTAAATTATACTAATTATTATTTTCTCTTGATTTAAATTCATTAATTTTAATATTATAATCTAGTGTATTTATCATTTAATTTTATAATATTTTTAATTTTAACTTAATTAATAAAAACATTCTATTTGTTTTATTTCACATTTTCATATCAATAAAACAAAGCACTAAATTCTGCTTTCTTATATCTATCAGATTTTTTCACTTAAATTTTTTCTCAAATAAAAGTTTAGATTGTAGAAAGAGAAAAAGCAGTAGCAGGTAGAAGCATTGCACATCTTCCTTATCTCAACCAACTAATCTTTGGACATGTTGGCCCCAAATTAATTTTAAATTCCGGCCTTATTCTATCGAAAACCGGCTCTGTTCTTATCTCTTATCTATACAAATAACTTAATAATATACTTGTTCGTCCGATTCACAAAATTTTCACAAGTTCTGACGTGTAATTTAAGAAATACAAATCAAAATCGTTTTGTCTGCTTGAGGCTTTTTCTAAACAAATTCAACTATAGAGAACCTCTTACTTGAGTGAAATAGAGATCAAAACCAGAAAAATGAGTCCAAGCTTTGAGCTCAGTGATCTGGAAAAGTTAACGTTGAAGGCAAAGCAAACACAAGATGATTTACTGAAAGAGATACTTACTCTCAATGCCAACACAGAGTATCTCCAGCAGTTTCTTCATGGAAGCTCTGATAAAACCTTTTTCAAGAAAAACGTACCGTTGGTGAGCTATGAAGATGTGAAGACTTATATTGAACGTGTCGCCAATGGAGAGCCTTCAAATGTTATTTCGGGTGGACCCATTACTAGATTTCTCCGAAGGTAAAATTTTTTTTTTTTGGTTTTGATTTGAAGGTAATTGTTGTTTGAACTTAAATCATTGTGAACTTGCCGTGTTTAGCTCCGGAACTTCAGGGGGAAAACAAAAGATAGTTCCTGTTAATGATGAATACATTGAGAAGCTGGGATATCTTTTGGCTACACACTCTCTCATTATGTCCAAGTAATTCCTTCTCTAGCTAGATTGAACTTTTCAACTAATTTGATTTGGTACGTACGATGGAAAAAAAATTGATTTAGATCTCTATTGGATAATGGAATGTAGTTTTTGGAGAAGTTTCAAAAATACTATTTATCTTATTATTTTCAAAACAATCACTATTTAATATATTAGGTAAATACTCACACTGCGTTGGAGAAATATTTTTTATTTATATTATTTTATTTTATTGTGATTATACATAAAAAAAGCATAAAATTTAAGTACAAATAAGATAAGTTTCACTTAACTAATCAAATCAAATTCACCAATATTACTAACATATCAACATGCTCTCTTAAGTTAACATTAATGTTAGATTGATCATGCGCTTTTTTTTCAGGCTGCTATCCACCAAATTTGATCTGAACTCAATCCTTACCTTAATGATTCATATCTTTGATAAAAGAAAATATTTCAATTTAGAAAAGAAAAATATATATAAAAAATACAAGAAAAGGAAATTCTAGATATTAATGATATGATATTGGATGATGATGAGCACAATGAAAAGAATGATCAGCAAAAATCAAGTAGAGAAGTTTTTTACGCGAGTCTTGAGAAGCATAACTTCTCTAGAAAATAGAGAGATCATATACAGAAGATGAAAGTGAAGAGAAAGATAAATTTTGATTGTTTAGAGAGAGTTAATATATTAGAAAGACTAGAATTGCATATTCAAGTTTTTAACGCATCAAAACAGGAAAAAATATCTGATAAAGTGTTAAACTACAAAAAATAGGGTTAACGTTGTTTAGATTCCCACAACAAATTCGGTATTTTGAAAAAAAATAATTAAAAATAAATGAGAATTAAAATAAATAACTTTTAAATTTTGATTTGGTGTTTTCAATATTTTTTTTCATCAGTAATTGGATTCTGTTTTTTTAAAAAAAAAAAATTTAATGGGTTTTAACTTTTTTTTTTGTTAAAGGGCTTAATGGACTAAAATATTGTTATCATTAATCCGCATATACATGGATCCTAATCTAGTTTGTTATAAAGTACTAACAAAGTAGAGAAAGAATTGCACACATTTTAGGTGATTTATTATTATTTAAAATTTTACTCTATTATAGAGTAAATAAATATTATATTTATTTTTTAGTTAGCGTAAGTTTTATATTTAGCTCTTGTTTCTCCATCTATATAGTTCATTTGAATAAAGATAAAAAAATTTGTTTGTTTTATAACAAAATCGAAAAACATTCAGATGAATTATCTGGATGATATTTAAAAGGTTGGATAAATTTATGAAAATCATCTCGATAAACCAAATTAGACCATCTGAATGAATATGTTTCACTCAAAAATAAGAAGTGACTAAAATACTCTTAAACTTTAAAAACAAAAAAGAAAACTAAAAACTCCATTAATTCAACTTTTGCCAAAATCGAGAAACAATCATGTTTTTTTTGATAAAACCACAAAATTATACTTTTCTAACAAAACTTGGAAAAAAACTAATAAAATCATGTTATACGGTAAAATCTAGAAATCGCGTTTTCTAACAAAAACTAAAAAATCGTATTTTTCTACCAAAACCGAGAGATCATGTTTTTCCGCCAAAACCGTAAAATTGCATTTTTTCATCAAAACAATGAAATTGCTTTTTCGCACCAAAACCAAATAAATTGTCAAAACCGAAAAATCACATTTTTCCGTCACAAATCGAAAAATCGCATTATCCTGCCAAAATCCAGAAATTTTATTTTTTTTACCAAAACCGAGAAAAAAAATTTTTCCATCAAACCAAAATATTTTTTTGTTTTTAAAAATATTGTATTTTGTTTGTTTCTTGAAACTTTTTGATATTTATTATAATTAAGCGTACACCAAAAGAGAATGTGATATGGTTCTCGTATAATTCTTTATCTCAATTATGATTTGTTATTTTTGGTTCAACTCAATAAATTTTAGACTCAAACTTAACTTTTTTACTTTTTTGTGATTATATGTAAAGCATAAAATTGTAAGTACCAAATAATGTAAGTTTTTTTTAAATAATCAAATCAAATTCAAGAATACTGCTAACATATTAACATGCTCTCTTGGCTATACCTTTTATTTCAGGATGCCATCTATCAATTCTAATCTGAACCTAATCTCGAGCTTTGATCAACCATAATAACAATACTTGGCTAAATTGTTGCATCAGTTTAAAGCAAACTGAATTTTTTTCTCTACAATTTTTCCTTTAATTTCTTACCTTCCAATATAGTAGTTTAATAATAAAAAAATTATAAAATATGTTTGAGGAAAAATAATAAAAAATCAAGATTGAAAATAAAATATTTTGAAAAATATACTTTCTCTATTTTTTATAGAATATTTTAAGATTATACACACAAATTAAAAATCTAGTATAATGCATATTATAACCTTATTTATTATTAGTTAAATTTTAATTTATCAGTTAATATAAAGATTAAAAGGTTATTTAGCGTCAAATTTTTGCATAAATTTTTGAAAATATCATATAATTTAAAACAAAAAAAATTAAAACATCATATAAAAATATAGAGTAATAAATTGATACTACTACTACAATAACCAGATCATACTTTATAATGGTAAGCAAGGAAAATATAAAATAGATTAAATATATACTTTTATTTCTATAATAGTTAATAGTTTATAGATTAACTAAAGCCTGGTTTTTTACAGTTGTTGCTGAGGTTGGAAAACTTTCAATTATTATTTTCTATATTCATTTGCACATATTTTCATTGTCATGTTTTAGTATTTGTCTCACATTCCGGAACTAAAAAAAAAAAATCATATTTGATTTTAAAATTTGTAGTAAATTAAAGATCCAAATGTGTTCACCAAAAATTATGAAGATAGTTTTCAATATAGCATTAATTAAGATGGATTGATTTTTAGGAGTATGAAACTCTAGTTTGCTTCATTGTCACTAAATACTTTGAAAAACATGATTGTCATTACAATCTAAAAATTTCAGATAATACAAGTGAAATTATCCATCTACATTGAATGGAAATTACGATGTATACTAAATTTACAAAAATATGTTTAATTTTTCTTCTGGATTTTCTCCTCTTATTTTGTTAAATATCTTGTTTTTACTTTTTTTTAACCATTTTGTTATCTCTTTTTCTAAAAAGCTAAGTATCTAGATTCACATACTCTTTCGATCTCTCAACTTTTGAATTAAATCTTAAACTTCTCGACGACAATCTAGATGAAGATATTGCAGTCCAAAATAACAAATAACTTGAATACTCTTAAACTTTTTAAAAAAAATCTAACCCCTTCCCCCAATCAAATCACATTTTTCGCCTAAATCTACAAAATCATAAAATCACATTTTCAATAAAACCATGAAATTATGTTTTTCAAACAAAATATTTTTACGTTTTCCGGTAAAATTGAGAAATCATGTTTTCCAACTAAAAGTAAGAAATTGTGTTTTTTTTGCCAAAACCAAAAAATCACGTTTTCCTGCCAAAATCGTCAAATTGCATTTTTTCGTTAAAACTATGAAATTGCGTTTTTCGCAAAAACTGAGAAAATGTATTTTCCTGATAAAACCGAAAAATCGCTTAGTCCCGTCAAAAATCGACAAAACAGAAACAGGGAAATTGCATTTTCTCACTAAAACCAGAAAACTTGATTTTTCCGTCAAACCAAGAAATTTTGATTCCTTATAAAACTTATACATCGTGTTTTTCCAACAAACCGTCTAATTGTATTTTCCTGCCAAACTTATAAAATTATATTTTCTTGCAAAAATAGAGATATCGCTTTATCCATCAAAAACAAAACCGAGAAAAATTTAGTTTCCTGTCAAACCGTATAAGTTGCTTCGATAGAGCAAAAATCGGACTAAGCCAAACAATTGGAGTTGGTAGAAGCATATTGAGTGAAAATATCAAAGAGTTGGACCAAAGGTTTAAGGTTTCAGAGAGGACCAAAACTGCCTTTGCGAGTACCGACAGAGCAGCGCAGGACCGGCTCTGATGCAAAACTGTTATGCGTTAACTGGTGTGAGCTGGGCTGTAGGAGCGTTCAACGGAGTGGATAAAACGGCTGGAGAGGTTGTACAAAAAAACAAAAGAAAAGATTGAAGTTGAGAAACCGCCACAGTCGCAGAAAAGAAAGGGTATTCTCTAATTCATTCATGACGGGAAAATTAAATTTTTTGATTTTAACGGGATAATGTGATTTCTCGGTTTTGGCAGAAGACGTGCCAACAAGGGATCTTTCGATAGCAGAAGAGAGACACTTAAAGGGAAAACAGCAAGGGTGAAACCCATTTTCACCGGAGCAACAAATAAGAAGCTCCAAGGTAATAAGGATGACGATGGTTGGTGAGGTTAAGGAACGGATCTAGCGGTTCCGGGGGTTGAGGACAAGAAGGTTTGGCCCTCTCTGTGTATGTCCGATTACAATCAAATGAGAAAAAAGTCATCATAACAACTGAAATTGGGCGTCACCACGCTTTTAGAAGACACAAATTTTGAAACAAATAAACAAATATAATTGACACAAATAAATACTACTAAATCGATTAAAATATTTGTAATTCTTACTCTATTTTGTTAGTACTTTATGTCAAATTAGATTAGAATTTGCGTATATAGAAGTTATTAATAACAAAACTTTTTAACTCACTAAAATATATATTTTTAAAAAGAAAATAAAAACGCATCAGTAATGAAAAAATACATTAAAAACACACAATCATAATTTAAGAGTTATTTACTTTAATTCTTATTTTTTCAACTAAAATATTCAAATTATATAATCTATTGCGAATTCTAAGCAACATTAAACTTACTTTTCGTGTAGTTCAATACTTTATAACCACTTGAAATCAATGAGAAAAAGAAATATTATGGAGAAACGGACTGTAGAGATTGACATTCAACTCTGTTCTTAGCTGAATCTGTAATAAAAGTGCACACATCATTTAGAGTTTAGAAAAAACAAAACAAAAATCAGCAAAAGAAATTAAACAATGAAATAAGGTTTCAGCACCACCGCAGTTAGAAGGAATGAAACCTATGGTGGCTTGTAAAGAGAGGTCATCAGTCACTAAAGAACATCGTTAGCTAACTTTCTCCTTTGTAAGTGACGCTTTTCCACTGAATTAGCATAATCTTTGACTAATTACGATTCTAATTCATCTCCAAAACATGAGACAAATAGAATCTGGTAAACAAGAAGAATACTTGGAGACGATCCAAGATGCTGTTGAGATGAGAATTCTACAATACTTGATGAAACTTCAAATAACTCAGGAAAGCTGCAGAGGACGGCGGAGGCTGTCAAATCTGATAACTCAATGTCAGGTTTGGCATATCAGATCAAGCATGATTTGACTTGGGTAGATCACTGCAATATGAGTTGTTGAAGCTTACTCAAGATAAGACTCGTCACTATGAGAGCCGAGAAGAGAAACAGAGGTAGGATTGAACATTCGGAGGAAAATTCCGTAGATGTAACTCTGGTAAGCAATCAAAGGAGAATAATCGCATCCCTCGAAGCTCCACGGAAAAGGAAGATAATCGAGTCCCTCGTCACCATGAGAGCCGAGGAGAGAAACAGAGGCAGGATTGAACATTCAGAGGAAAATTCTATGGATGTAACTCTGTAAGCAATCAAAGGAGAATAATTAACCTCCGAATAATGAGTAGGTAGTTCGATCCTTTTGATTCTTCTCTTCAAAAGGAGGATAATTGAGTCCCTCGAAGCTCTGCGAAAAAGTGGTGGTTTTTTTGGTGGTTCTTTAGTGGGCCTTCCTAATGAGTTTTGCAAAAAAATAAAAGAGGTTAAAAAATTTTGTAATTAGGTTTTTTTGCATAATGTAAAAAAGTTAAAAAGTTTCTTAGTTGATGATATGTATTAATTGGTTGATATGTCTTTTTCTGGAGAGATTTTGATGTTTTTATAGTATTGATTATTTTCAGAAGTATTATTTTCTATACTGAATGATTATTTATAAGAAAATATATATTTATAATTTTGTATAAAAGTTTTATAAAAGTTGTTTATATGATTTTCTAAGTCTGAAGTGTAAAGTATAATCACGAGTGGAGGCCACAATCAGGACAGTTGAGTATAACTTAGGCTCTGATACCATATTAGTAATAAACATAACTCACACCCAAAAGCTAGCTCAAGAATGTAGGATTGATTCACACTATATATATATTGTCCACAAATCTCTCAAACTTTCGATGTGAGACATTTCCAACAATAACATCCTGACCTTTCATTCCTTGTAACAAATTTAAAATCCATTATGAGTATAAACCATAAATACCATAATCTCTCATATACTCATAGAGCAAGAGAGGCAAAAACCTCACCATCTCTCATTATGAATATAACCATAGATACCATAAAGCATCTCGCATATACTCATAGAGCAAAAGAGGCACAAACCTCACCGTCTCTCGTCGAAAGTGTAACTTCTAACTGATCAGAAAGCCCTTGTTTTTATGGCTTCTATCTTTCTCTACCTTCTAAATTTCTTCTTTTGAAAACTGACAAAACAGTCATATTTTGGATCGAATCACGGATTTCAGTTAAATGTTTATAAAAGCAATTTAAAAAAAATGACAAAACAATAGTACTTTTTAAAAATAGTATCATACAGTTGTATTTCTTAAAATTTCTCAAAAAAATTAATTAAACATTTTTTGGAGATATCTTGACAATCAAAACATCCACCACTATGATCAATTTTGTTCCGATTGTACTTTGTAGGCTTTTCAATGACATCGGTGCTGAGCAAGGAAAGGCAATGGAGTTTTATTACATCAATCCGGAAACCAAAACCCTATCTGGTTTACCCGTATCTCCAGCATTTACAAGCTTTTTCATGAGCGAATATTTCAAAAACCGTCCATCAAAATGTAAGTCTGAGTGCACAAGCCCCGATAGTGTCACATTGTGTCCAGACAACAAGCAAAGCTTGTATTGTCATCTTTTATGCGGGCTTTGTCAGAGAGACGAGGTTGTAAGAGTTGGTGCTACTTTTGCTTTTAGCTTGGTCCAAGCAATTGATTTTCTTGGAAATTACTGGAAGGAGTTGTGTAGTAACATCCGATCAGGTCATGTTAGCGAGTGGATCACCGACCTTAACTGCAGAAGATCTGTTTCGATCATCCTCGGAGGACCTAATCCTGAGTTGGCGTATTTGATTGAACAAGAATGCAGCCACGAGTCATGGGAAGGTATCATCACACGGCTTTGGCCCAAAGCCAGGTTTCTTGAAGCCATTTTTACAGGACAAATGGCTCAGTACATTCCAATATTGGAGTTTTATTCCAACAAACTTCCCCAAATTTCCACAATATATGGGTCTTCTGAAAGTTTGTTTGGGGTGAACATGGATCCTCTAAGCAATCCACAAGATGTTTCTTACACATTTCTGCCCAACCTCTCCTACTTCGAGTTTCTACCTGTTGACCATGAAGGTGACACAGGCAGCATTGTTGATCTTGTGGACGTAAAGTTAGGCTGTTATTATGAACCTCTGGTCACTAACTCTTTTGGATTAAACAGATATCGAATTGGAGATATCCTACAAGTTACTGGGTTTTACAATAGTACACCTCAATTTAGATTCGTGCGCAGAAAGAATATTGTTTTAAGTGTCGACATAGAGACAACAACAGAAGAGGATCTTTTGAAGGCGTTGACTCGTGCAACCCTTGTTCTTGATAAGTATTCAGACTTTATGTTGATGGGATTCACATGCTATGCAGATATCTCAACTTTTCCAGGTCACTACGTTTTCTTTTGGGAAATCAAATCTAGAGGTGGTAAAGATGTTGGAGAACTTGATGAAAAGGTATTGGTGAAATGTTGCACTGTGTTGGAGGAATCATTTGATGTGCTGTATAGAAGATTTAGGAGTAGAGATGGAATAATTGGAGCTCTAGAGATAAGAGTGGTGCAACAAGGAACATTTGATTCTCTCATGGAATATTTCATCTCTCAAGGTGGCTCGACAGTTCAATACAAGACACCCATATGTATCAACTCTCCCGAAGCCTTAGCGGTTCTTGAGAATAAGGTTGTTGCTCGATTCTACAGCGACAAATCTCCTCCTCTTGACACTTAGTTCTTTTTGTTTTGTATGCTTTGATTTTTTTTTAAATGTCGTGGAAAAGTCATGAAACAAAGCACTTGATTACGTTTGCTCTCGTTTTTATGTAATAAATCATTTGACAATTTGGATATTTTGACGAGAATTGCTGACTGCAGATCAGCAGATGTACGATTTGGTTTCCAAATGGATGAGTAAAAATAAATATTGAGGCTAAAGTTTCTTTATTAGTTTCCGGGAAATGGAATGATAGTTTCAGTGAAATGTAAGAACAATGAAATAAGAAATAAGTTATTTAACTTTTTCAAGAAAAAAAAAATAAGTAATTTAATTTATTCAATGAATATTAGGAAAAATGGTTTACAAAGAATGCGTTTGTTATTGTATCCGTGTCACCAGACTGAGATGGTAACACGTAAAAAAACAAGAATATAGTTCAAAGTATTGCTGTAAAAAAACAAAGGTAGTTCAAAGTATTATTGATTTATGTATATGCAAACGTAAAACAGTAAAAGTTGTATGTTTTGACGACAAAAAAACTGTATGTATTCAAGTAAATAAATTTACGTTTCAGCATTTTTGTCTCTCCTCTAGATTAATTTGAGTTCATGAATCATAGCCTCATGGGGGTGGATCTTAGTCCTTGAACCAAAACAAAACGTCAAAAACAACTACGGTTCATGCATGCAGATCATGTTATTTCTTTTACAAATATATTATTTTACTTATTCTGTTGTACTACTACCTGTCAAATGTAGATTTTAAAACATCCCAATCCATGTAATAATAAATAGACATTTTTGTTACGTTTTTTACATAAGAGAAACAAAGATTAACTAACATTATAAATTTGATAAAAGATCTTTTCAGTGAAAAAACTTGACATCACCAGAACAAAAATTAGTGTATTTTAAATATGATAAGACAAATTTCAGAAAATAAATAAAATATTTTGATTAGTTAAGTTAAATTTAAATAAGTTTTATTTTCAAATAAGTAGAAAGATTATATCATATATGAATGTATTCTCATTATACAGTAAGACTTCAAATTACAAATGAAATACAAAAAAATAAGTGAGTGTATAATACTTACATTATTTTATAAAACTTTTAGCAGGAATTTAAGTAATAATTTTTATTAAAAAATTATTTTTTGTAAAGATTAAAATTAGATTAATTTTTTAATTGTTATATATGTACATATGTATTAGTGATGAAGAAAATATTTATCATGAAAATTTTGGTTTGTTAATTTTCTAAATATAAAGTTATGATAGGTTATTAGTGAATATTAACTAAAAATCTTATATTTGATATATTTTATGATTATAATATTTAAATTTTAATATTCATTAAAATAATTATATAGTTTAAAAAAAATATTTAGATTTTTTAAAAACAAATTATTGTGCCTCCATAATTGATGGCAATCACAAACACTCGTGGAAATAACCTTTTGATTTTAAGAAATCTATAACTGTAGAAAGTATTTACAATAATTCTTTTCAAATATTAATAATTGATATCATCCGTAAAAACTGCGTTTGGGGATATTGATTGGAGAACTAATCAAACTCAATAATCATAAATTCTATTAACTATGTAAATTAATTTGTGTTTATATATTATTTATTTATACGTATCAATCATCTATTTATTATAAATAATACATTTAAATATTAATTAATTTATTTTTAGTAAAAATTTAATATTCGCATATATCTACGAATCAACTACCTATATAGTCACAAAAACATATATATATATATCTCTAGTATAAACTTAAAAGTATTTGGACCTAAATCCTAAAGTCCATGTAAAATAATCCTAACCCAAACGAAGAAATCAATGGAGACCGTGCTAGCACAAGCAATATGCGAGCATAATATATTTTGTTCAAAATGTTTTTCTATAAAATAGTATTCTAAAATAAGCCAATGCAATATAAACAAAACTCATCAAATATCAATATCAATACTATGCATGGAAATCATAAAAAAAAAATTCTAAATGGCTCACCCTTTCTCAAAACAGTTTTATTACATAAATATTTCCAATTGACTATAAAAGCATCTCCATTGGTAATACTCTATTTGAGGTTTTTAACCAATTTTTAAATATAATTTTTCTACTATTTCATTTTAAAAATCTTCTAAGAACTTCTTAATTTTTCTCCTTTCCATTGGTAGAAACCCATTAAAAATCTTTAAGAATAAAAAAAAAAATTCTATTGTAATTAAGTAGCCAAAGATAAGAATACACAAGTCTTTTCTGTTGATTCAATGTAGTTTTACCTCCACCAAGATCACGAGACGATGCTGCTGGTGCCAAGAGAGACCCTAATCCTTGTGTTTGGCCTTTTACGAATAGCATTGGGTTCCATCTGAGAATCAAACAAAACAAACAGAATCTTAGCTGTTGTCACTACAAGAAAACAGATATTTCATGACCACAAGTTGCGACTACATATACAGTCGCTAAATTTAGCGACTAATTACCGACATATTTGCGATTAATTTGCGACTAAATAAAGTTAGTTAACAATTAGTCGCTAATTTGTGACTCTTTATGAGTAGCTACACTGCAGTCGGAAAACAGTCACAAATTAGCGACTATTTTGCGATTATTTTCGGCGGGTTGCAAAATTCCCGTTAAGTGAAACACATGTTATTCGTTTTGGGGTCGGTGTAACGGTTTTTGCGATCGAATTATGTAGTCGCAAATTTAGTCGCAATGTAGTCACAATTTAATCGCAAAAAGGTCTATATAGACTAACCTCACACATTTCTTTCTCTCACTCCACATTCCTTCATTTTTTCTCGTAAACACACACGAAAAGTTGAGAGAAATTTTTTTCACAAATAAAAAAATGTCTGGAAACTACAATTACATGAATGGTCGAGAGTGGATGTATAAGAGGCTCGATGAAGCAACAGGAAATTTCTCGGCAGAGTTTATGGAGGAGACATATCAATTCATGAAATTTGCAAATAGCCAACCTCTTGCAGAGAGCAATGGTGGTAAGTTTCATTGTCCTTGTAGTGTTTGCAAGAACTACAAATTTATGCTGGGGAGTAGAATTTGAAATCATTTGTATAAGAATGGATTTATGCCAGAGTATTATGTCTGGTATAAGCATGGAGAAGAACTCGATATGGGTTTAGGAGTGAGTTATGTTGTTGCGACGTGGCTTAGTGGGAGTGAAGAAGTGGGTAATGTAGCAGAAGATAGATATGTGGATATGGTGAATGATGCATTTCATGATAACGTTAATTTTGATAACTATCATGATCATCATTATGGTAGTTATCAAAATGTAGAAGAACATGATAATTATCAAAATGTAGAAGAAAATGTACGTAATCATTCAAAAAAATTCAACAATTTGTTAGAAGGAGCGAGAAATCCATTATATGATGGTTGTCGTGAAGGTCAGTCGCAATTATCCTTAACTGCTCGGTCATGCAAAATAAGGCAGATCATAATATGAGTGAAAAGCTAGTGGATTCGATATGTGAAATGTTTACAGATTATTTACCAGAAGGAAACCAAGCAATCGGTTCACATTACAAGGCAGGCAAATTGATGCGCAATTTAGACCTCCCATATCATACAATTGATGTTTGCATCAACTATTGTATGATATTCTGGAAAGATGACGAAAGGTTAGATAAATGTCAGATTTGTGATGCACCTAGATGGAGGCCTAACGAGCAACGCCGTAGGACCAATGTACCATATAGTCGTATGTGGTATATGCCTATTGCTGACAGATTAAAGAGAATGTATCAGAGCGAGAAGACTGCAGCGGCAATGAGATGGCATGCTGAGCACCAAGCAAAGGAGAGAGAAATGTGTCATCAGTCTGATGCGGCGGAGTGGAAATATTTTCAAGCTCGACATCCCGAGTTTGCCCAAGAAACCCGTAATGTTTATCTTGGATTATGTACAGATGGGTTTAATCCATTTGGCATGTCTCAGAATCATTCGTTGTGGCGTGTGATCTTGACTCCATATAATTTACCCCCTGATATGTGCATGAATACGGAGTACTTGTTTCTTATAATTATGAATTCTGGGCCACATCTGCGAGGTAGTCTTGATATATTCCTCGAGCCTCTTATTGAGGAGTTAAAAGAATTATGGTAAACTGGAGTGGATGCATACGATGTGTCCTTGAATCAAAATTTTAACCTAAAAGCCGTGTTATTATGGACGATAAGCGACTTTCCAGCGTATAGCATGTTATCAGGATGGAGCACCCATGGTAAATTATCATGTCCAATTTGCATGGAAGATACAAATTCTTTTTATCTGCCGAGAGGAAGAAAGACATATTGGTTCGATTGTCACCGCAGATTTCTTCCTCATGATCATCTAACGAGGAAGAATAGAAAATACTTTCTGAAGGGAAAAGATACTAGGAAAGAGTATCTACCTGAGTCTTTGAACGGTGAGCAAGTTTATTCCTACCGGTTGCGTCGTGTAAATCCACCTAAAACTAAGGATGTTGGTGGAAACGGTCATGATAAGAAGAAGCCTGGCTTTGGGAAGAAGCATAACTGGCACAAAGAAAGCATATTCTGGGAGCTGCCGTACTGGACACTACAGAAAAAACGGATATTTGTAGCAACGAAAAACGCTATGTAACGATATAATAGCATTTTGAGAAGCATTCTATCATAGCCCACGATAATAGGTCTGCCACTTTAGATAGCACTTTTTAGCGATGCTATCATTTGTTTATATAACATAGCGTTTTATTCAATGCAATAAAAGTATCTATTATAACACTTATTAATTGTTATTAATAATAATTTAGACAGCGTTTCAAAACTGTTATTTATATTGATTTTATAGCATTTATGTATTTTAGGTTTTAGATTTTGAATTTTGAATTTTGAAATTCTATTTTTAATAACCTCTAATTTTAATTTCCAGCAAAAAAATAATCAATAAATGTAATAATATTTTACAAGGACAAAATACACAATAAATACTCTCTTGCAAAGT